TCTCTCTCTCTCTCTCTCTCTCTCTCTCTCTCTCTCTCAAGTATCAAGTTGAAGAGAGATGCTAATTTGTTCAATTTTTTCTAACGAAGCGAAGGAATTTGTAAAAAGAATGTGTCGGAGAAAATGCATCTATACCTCTCTATTACGTCTATGCTTGCGTTTTTTCTGTTATTTACTGCTAGTACTGAAAATTAATAGTACATGTAACATAACTGTAGATTTTTGGTACTCGCAGTGTGAATAACGAAATAGCCTGTAGTTTTGCAATATTTTTATTCGATGTATCCATTTCGTTGAAGCTAAATTTGTATGAACAAACAAGGCCATTTAAAACTAAAATAGAGATACATTCCTCTTTATCATAAAAAAAAGATTTCTGGAATAATTTGATTATACGATACGGTTTCTGAAGACTGTTTCTTCCACGAATTCGTGTATGAGGAAACTGAATAAATTTGAAGGGTCTCAGCAATGACGCATTCCGCATATCAATGACTTCTCCTTTCTCGTCCACGTATATAATTATCGTACAAGCATCTACAGTCTTTCAACTGCAAAATGAGATTTTCTAAATGGCAGCAGATTTATGATAATCCAGTGAGGATTTTGGTTTTGTAACATTTAATATTAAATATTAAAAAGAGATATAATCGCAGAGAGACTGAGAGAGAGAGAGAGAGAGAGAGAGAGAGAGAGAAACACGAAAAGATATTTATAAAATTTTAATTCTGACAAAATTTATTTAAAGTTATTAACAAATATATGTATGCTTAGTATTAGGTGTTGGAATTAATTCGTAGCGTTTTTTAATGAAAGAATGTTATTTATTTCACATGAGCATTAAAAAATACATTAATGAAAGTACTTCCCATCACTTGTAAAACGCTACGAATTAATTCCAACACCTAATATATATATTAATATATTCATAAACATGTGTCAATTGTTTTTCTGATTAATTCAGGCACATTCTCGCATCTTAAATTATATTCAGGTTATTACATAAAATTGCTTTGTAAGAAATTTTTGATAAATAAAACACAGGAGTTGTTTACACAAACGAGTGACAATATCGATTCGAAGGATTGAAATTATTAAGTATTAATGTTATACGTTATAATACTCAGTCTATATCTCATTCTGTTTGTACTAATGATAAGCGCGATTCTGTAAAATTCTTATCTCTGACTGAAAATGGTTATCGATGAAGTGCAAAAATAAAAAGCATGTTTAAAACAACGATGAACCAAGAATGTAACGCGAATTATGAAGATCGCATTAAAGTATTATAAGTATAATATTTAATGAATTATTATTAAATATTTATTATAAAGTTTAAAATTTAGTTTTGCTAAATATTAATAGATATATCAATCTTTGTATGTTTAGTTCATAATCGCTTTAATGACAAAAGATTACAAGAAGGCTCGTGATATTGGAAATCGATGTAAGGATCAATTAATTTTATTGTATTACATGTATATATATAAATGCTGTATATATAAATGTATATATAAATGCTTAATTAAAACTATTTAGTTATAAAAAGGATAAGATATTAAAATACAAATTTATTATTATTAATAGTGTTGAAACGAAATCGTAATGATGTAGATGTTATTTGTGGTCTTAATATTCTGAAGCACAAAAGTTAGTGTGAAATTTTATATTTTATTCTATTTAAAAAACATTTTATACTGTTCTCTATTTTGCGTTAACAGAAAACGAAGAGTGCGAAAGGTCAAGTTTAACTGAATCTGCAGACAATGAACTCGAAAGAGGTAACGCGGTGGATGATGACGTTACTGATTTTATAGATGATAATGTGGATATTCATATTGATCCAGAAATGGCAGATAAAATCATGTCACATGACACGTCTCTATTGAATAACAAAGCCAGTCTGAGTCAGCAGAGAATGTATAAAGTAATACTAATAGAGGTGAATAAAAAAGTTACGGAAGTATAAAGATGGTTTAACGAGACGTTGAAAATCGATAATACTTTCATATATCTACCACGAGTTTGAGATACACAAGCAAAATATGAATATAATACATAAATAAAATGTAAACAATATAAATAAAATATAACATGTATAAAAATAAGAGTAAGAAATAAAATACCGTAGGACATTACTTAAATTAATTGGACTTTATATGAACTATTTAAGTTTTGCGATTTTTTTAAAATTTTTTTGTTGACAGTGAGTCCAAAATTAAAGATTGATCAGTATCAAAAGAAGAATCATTTTTGGATATTAAAAAAAGACATGAGACATTTTTAAATATTTACATGGTATAGTGAAGATTTTAAGAAAAGTAATATTTAGGTCATATTTTGGGTACCTAATGTGTACATTAATATAACATGTCTTTTTCCTTTTCGTTAAAATGTATTAAAGAAATGGAAAATAAAATAATTTTTAATATTATTTTTATAAGTTTTTTAATATAATTGACATGTCTATGGACGTATAAGAATACACAAAGAATTTTTCAAACAATTGATTTTACTTATTTACTTATTTACTTATCTCCACGACGTTTATCAGGTTTAATTAGAATTTATGAAATAATAAAAATAACAAAAAACCTTATAATACGTGTGTGTACACTCGTATGCCTATATATACATGGCTTATGTTCCAAATTCACTGCCAGTGCTGAAAATATACAGTATACATGAGATCTTCAGCGCTTCAGTGAATTTTGTAACACAGCCATTGATTTTTGAAAAAATTTCTTTATTTTGATTATAAACAAAATGTTGTGACAAAAATATAAACTATGGTAAATACGGTATCGTAAAGTATAAATATGGAGTTACAATAATATAAATTACGGAAATTAATAACTGGAAATAAAATACTGTAGAAGGTTTTATTGAAATACATTTTATTAATAAAAAAACAACTATTTGTTAAAAGTTTTTACAACATAAATGGAAAACAGCGTGGTAGGCATCGTTTGGTGCACGCTCGCCGCGCAGGCACAGAGGTCATATCGTTTGTCACACTGGGAGACTCTACACATTTCCTTACTTTTTTTTTTTTTACAGAGATATCGTCGCGTGAAAGAGTACACTGAATCTGAATGTTCAATGTTTTTTGGTCATCGCGAATGAACGGGATCTTCGGTGTCGTGGGGTTTCCCACGAGATTTCCCTCCTCGCTCTTTAACTTCCTGTCTTCCAGTTGCCGAAATCAAACTTGAAATCTGGTCGAACTTCTCCGTTGCGCTTTTTGTCGCACACTATTATATTACAATGTGATGCGTATACCTTCCGAGTAACAAAATATAAATCCACGTACGTATAGTTATATTAACATACAAGCACACAGTTTCTCTCATGTACGCACCGTCGATTGGTATGAGTTAATAAAAAGAGAGGGATGGGGTGATGTGATGGTGTTGGGAGACTGGGGTCCTTAACGTTCTATTAAATTACAAAAAAATACAACCTCGCGCGTCTCTTTAATCATTGAACACGCATCGAATTTCACTTCAAAAGACGGATTCCATTTCTTTTTTTTCTCTCTTTTGCGGTTCTCCGGCGTGGCTCGAATTTGCCAGACGCGTGCCGAAGCGACAATCGGTGCACGGTCTGCCGATCATCGTTCCAGGACTCTTGCGCTCGCCAGTTGTCGATCGAAGCGCATCTCTTGCGTCGACGCGAGATCTCGCGATTTCTATCGTTCTTTTCTCTCTCTTTCTCTCTCTCTCTCTCTCTCTCTCTCTTCATATCTGGGCGATCAGAATGATCGTGGATCTCGCGCGACGTCGTACAGAATGGTAATGTAATAAATAACAAGATCCGTCGATCGGTCGGGGAGCAACGACGACGACGTCGCTCGAAGGATGAGATATTGTCGTCGCTCCGTCTGATTACACTGATATCTCCCGCTTTTTCGTATTCTACGTTGGCGTGAAAGTCATTGTTCTACCCGGTCACTGGCCTTCGCTGTCGCTGTCGCTCTTATCTGCAAAATGGATATTTCGTAATGTTATTTGCTGCGCCGCTCGCTCGGAGACGTTTCTGAGATAGCGCGCTGACGTTTTCCAATCTGCTGTTAAATCAAGTGGAGCGGAAATTTGTTACGTGTTCTAATGATAGTAAATAGACGAAGGGAGTAATACACAGGCTTAAATTAATTAATAAATAAGTAGCCGGTCGTGCGCGTGACTTTGTTGCATCCGATCCTGTTGGCAGTAATTTTCGGATGGTTGCACGTATGATGAGCCGACGTTGATTAATATGATTACGAGGGTAGTTGCGGGATTGTACCTTTTTTACCGGTATACGCGTGACGCTTCAGTCTGTCGTAAAGATCATCTTTCGTGCCGTAAATACTGGCATTCGATCGGGCAAGACTGTTCATCTTGCCTCCATTGTGCAAGCTCTCTGTGTAAAAAAAAAGAAAAAAGAATTAATGAGCATTCTTAATACATTGCAATATGAATTATATGTAAAGGTAGATTGCTCGTTGCAGATTATTTATTTATGTATTCATCTCGTATTTATCGTGACAATAAATAATTCGGCCGCACTGACATTATTGAAATTTTTATCTTTATATAAGTGCTTGCAATATTTCATACAACATCCAGAAAAAAAGATGTAATAATCATGAAGATGTGCGCGCACACACACACACACACTCACTCTAGTTCTACATATAAAACTTGTAGGTATATTGCTATTTTTATAATTATCATTACATTTTTCTCAGAGTGTTTTATAATTTTCGTTACAGTTATTCGCCTACCTTTCATGTAAGTTTCATTGTAAAAATTGGGCATCTCCCAGCCATCCTCCTCGTCATCGTAATAATGAGCATACGTGCTGTGATGTGATGGCGCTATCGATTCGGCGTACGGTGTTGGCGCACCATAATAGAAATTTACTTGAGAGCCATTTTGATCGGTTGCCGGAGTAAGCATCTTCTTTGGCTCTTTCTTCTTAGATGCTCTATAAAAAAAAAAGATATATTGTTACCGATAAAATACGAATTTATAGTTTACTTAAATAATATTGGATTTTGACTCTTACCGAATAGCGAACAGTTTTAAAGTAATGACTGTTATTTTTTATAAAATTTTACGTTTTGATTATATTTTATATTCTTTATTTATTATTTATATTTTATATTTGTTCCTGTTGTGTGAGTTGTATTAAGTTTGCTGTAATGTAGAAATTTTTCAATTCTTCTGGCCAGTCAACTTTGATAGACTCGAATTTTTAGTAATTTGACTGATAGTTGTTTCAAGATTACTGTACACTCGCACAAATGCTTTGTCATCAATTACAGTTTTCATCTCTTTGTTGATAATGTAAAATGCTGATGTAAAAGTAAAGTCAAAACGCATACGGACGAACATTTATATGTATTGCAAATGAGGCGAATAATTGAAGGGTTTTTTTTAAATAACGTTTTTGCACACACAAAGCACCGCGCTGATTCCTACATCCCTCTTTTGTACCATTCATTATTTTATTAAAAATTTGAAAGTCTTATTTTATCCTATTTATTATCTAAAAAAAAATTACTAAAAAATTTCTTAAGATGCTCGAATGAAAGAGAAGTTTTCTGATATCGCAGATGTGACCGTTATCACATAGTGAGTATAGATTAATCAAATTTCTTTACCAACCTGACACATATCATCCAGACGAGCAGCACCACGAGAATGATCAGGATAACACCTCCCGCTATGCCACCGGTGATGTAGAAGAACTCGGACTTCTCCATGCAATGTTTGCCTGTGAAGCTGCCGCTGCATCTGCACGAAGGTTGCCCGCGAGAATCCTTCAGGCAGACGCCCTCATTGTCGCAGTAGCCCAGACACACGTCCGTGCATACAGTTCCGGTGCCATTGTATCCGGGCTTACACTCGCATTTGAAATCGCTAGTCTCAGGTATGAGTAAGCAGTAGGCATTTGCGTCGCAATGCATTTCCTCGCCGCTAGTTTCGCAAGGATTCGTGCAATCTGCTTTGTTTGTCTGTTAACAAATGTCGTTCGGCATACTATCTTAGTTTTCCATACATTAATAAATAATTTTACATTGAATAAATTTGTCAAAATATAAAATTCACTTAAAAAATTACATTTATGAAATTATTACATACATATAAAATAATTTCATAAATGTAATTTTTTAAGTGAATTTTATATGTGACAAATTTATATATATATAAAATCAAGTGAAAAAATATTTAAAAAAACGATTCTGCTGAGAAATCTAAAATTTTATTGAATAGATCTTAAAATAATTTTGTAGACCATAAAAATAATTATATTGGAAATTAAAAAATGATAAACAATGCTGCAAAAAAATTTTATTATTTTAGCAATCAATTTGAATAAAAAAAAAAATTATTTTAATCGTCCAATAAAATTATTTTCAGATCTGTATTTAACAAAAATTTCAATCTTTTAATAAAATCATTTTTCCCGTATAAATTTATTAATACTTTAGAATAAAACTTACAGCAGCAGATCCTTTAGTGCTGGTATTCGGCGGACACGGGATACAGAATGTTTGTTGCGGTTCCGATTGATAAGTTCCCTTCTTACATTCCACACACTCGTTGAGGGTGCCGTTGAGGAAAGTTCCAGGTTCACAGACTGGAAGCGAGCATTCCTCGATCGCTGCTGATCCCATATTCGGGGTTGTTCTGCCGAGTGGACAAGCCTGGCAGGATGCCTGTACCCCTTGAGTTCGGTACGTGCCACGTGGGCAAGGTTCGCATTTTCCTTCGACGGCTAACTGTTGTCCAGATCCACACTCGTCCCATAGCTGACAAGAGAAGCTGCCCTCGTTTGGTTGATAAAATCCATGACCGCAGCTACGACAGAGACCTCCCAAATCGTCGTAGAATTTGCCGGCAGAACAACGTTCCTTGCAGTCCGCTGCGCTACGCGCTCCAGGACCCACGGTAACACTGGGACGACCGGCGATTATCGGACAGGAATTGCATTTTAATTGTCCGGACTCGTTCTGATAAGTACCCATAGGACAAGATACGCATTGTTGCGTTTCTTCATCATAGAATGTTCCCACTGCACATGGTACTGTAAAAGAATTGTTGATAATGAAATCGAGTTTCTCTCAAATGCATTTATTGACAGTTTATCGTCAAAAAAAAGCATGCTGTGATATTTTCGAAATTAACTTTTACAGTTAATTGTTTTAGAAATTATATTTAATAATAATTTTTATAAAATACATAGTATATCTTACCACAATCCGGTGCCATAACAACTTGACCAATGGGACAGGCATAGTCGGATTCCAGAATGAGAGATGCGGGATCTGGGACGGTATTAGGTAGAATGTCATGGACATCGAATTGGTCCTCTTCAAGAATCAATCTTTCGAGCAGCATTTGCACAGTAGAGCGCTCGTTTGAGTTAGCGTTCAGGATCGGATCGCTGTGAAACATAAATGAAATTATTTATTGTTGTTTTGTAAATTGATAGAACTTGCGGTAGCAACAAGCAGGGAAGGGTTTGCGCAAGTATGTACAGCCGTTATCTTGAAGTGAGTGTAATTAGGGCAGTCTTGTCTTTAGACCAGGATCTTCGTCAATAAACTCGTGTATCGTAGGTTAAACCACACTCATACCCTTAGCACTTTTATTAATACACGCAAATTTCTGTATTTACTCACTATCATATTGATCACGTATGTTGTCAAATGTATATTGGAATTGTTATATTTGTAAACCAAAGCTGTTGGATCACTGTTAAACAAGCGCGCGTTACAGAACTTAACAAAATGGCATGAATTAATTAATCGAATGTAATTTTTTAAACCCTACCATAGTGAACAAAATTCTCATAATATCTCATAACATTTTTAAGAATTTGTCACATTCTAAATTTACAAAGATTTCTAAAAAAAAAAAATATCTTAAATTTTTCCAGATTTTATATTATAAATTTTCAGAAATTGAAGAATGAGAAATCTTAGAGATCTTAGAAACTTCGAAATTGATATAAAGAATTTTAAAAAATGTGAAAGACTTTCAGCATTTTTGAAGTGTTCTAATTTATACAAAAATTTGAGAGAAATTTTCTAAAAAATTTTAAAATTATACGTAAATTTCGAAAAAATTCAGAATTTACATAAAAACTGTGAAAAATTATATAAAGATGCCTAAGAAAAATTTTCCAAGATAATCATTTAATTTTCGTGAAATTTCACATGCTTGAGTTTTCGATTCTATGCGTTAGTAGTGTATCGAATAACAGATTCCTTTTTAACAAAATAAAGGGAATGCTAATCAATCTAACAGCTTGGTTTGATCTTGATTTTGTTACATTGTTATCACTATCGGAAAATATGTGGACACCTGTTGCAGCTCCCTATGATGACGTCTCACGTATATGTATAGTGATCAGTCGTGATCAGTTAGTAAAAACGTGCAGCTTTTTACTTTCATACAATTCTATAAGGCTTGATCTGATATTTTTCTCGCTGTAGGATTAGTCGTTAGTATGATTCGTTCGATGACTTTTTAATGCTTATTGTATAAATCTGAGAGTTATGCACTATTATCGTGGGATAAGGGAACACTGAAACATGATTAACCCATGATGTGGGAAAACGATTATTGATTATTATAAACTGCACGATATGAATGGTAACGTATTAGAAATGATGACGAATGACGAGTAAAACCGATGTAAATGAATTGAATCTCGCTGACTTGAATCGAGCTGTCCTTACTTTATCGCTGGAAACGAGATCTCCACCTCGTAAGTGTCACTGCCTTGGCGACCCTTTCTCGTTCTATGATGCAACACAAGTAACAAAAATACTCAGTACGAAAATTCACTGTAAGCGAAAGCTAACAGTAATGCGCAACGCGGTCAATAAAATAGATACTGATGCAGTATCTAATAGTTAAGTGATCGACATTGATATACAGAAGCAAGCCATGGTTTACACAGATAAAATTATTTTAAATAAGAGGAAAATGCATTTAGAGTGATTGGCGAGTTGGTGTGTTTATAAAATTGCGACTCGCACCTGCAAATGTTTGAACGGCAACATTTTCCAAGACATCGTCTTGGAAATTAATTACAAGATTATAATAGATTTGAGCACACTTACGGTTCCGCGGGTACGACAGCGGAAATGACATATGTTCCACCGTCTTCTTCATTCGTTTCTCTCGTTGTGCGTGTGCGATGATCGCATTGTACGTCAATATGAAGATCCTTGCATTCGCGAGTTCCTGGAAAAAAAAATAAAAGAAATTAGATTAATGTAGAAAATGTGCAATTATAAAAGATAATCCGTAAATTGCGTATTACCTTCATAAGAATACGAACAGAAATTCCAGTCTCTGTTCAAGGAGTTTACGGCATTTCGAACCTTCTGTTTGAGTACACCTTGGCCGGCCTCGTTGCAGAGCACCGTTGGGCTGACGTAGCGCCTAAAACAAAGTATACGTTAAGCTATGCAGAAAGTAAATCTTAGTACACACAATAATTTTCCAATCTTTTACTACACTCGATAGGTCGTTCGTGTCCTAGCTAGATTAATTTTCACTTTTTCAAGTATACAAAAATCATTGAGTAGTTTTTACATGTACTTTATCATCTTTAGAAAATATTCATAAGTTGTGTTAAAAAACAAAAAAAGATAGAAATCATTGTTTATAGCCAGACGTTTCAAAGAATATTTCAAAGAAGAGAAATGTGGATCGAATGACGTAATCATGTATATATTAAGGAATAAGATTGTTGTAAGAGAAAATTAATGAAATGTAAGATGCTTACTCGTACAAGCTGGATATATCAAAGGTAGACTGGGATCACTGGTAGGTCTCCAGAAACCTTCTGCACCGCACGTGTAAAATTTAGGGACTTCCTGTGAGAACCGAAGTCCGGTGTTACAAGAAATCTCGCAGACCTTGAATTGACCTCCCGAACCCCAGTCTTTGCATTGTTGAGTGCCACCGACAGGATCTTTCAATGTCAGGCAAAAGTCGGCTGCAATGAGAAGAGTTTGTATAAATTTACGCGCAACAACTTCCACAAAAACATATCATTTTCTAGAGAGATATTTTAGCGTTTATTTGACAAATATTAGCTGATATTTACTAGATTGAATTATAAATATAATGATTATCACTAAAATTTCAGTAGTAATAATTATAAAAATAGAATTCGTACCATAATTATTTTACCATACAGTCACACAAGTACTAAACTCTCCGGTCAAAACAAATCAAAAGTAACATAATATCAATATTATTAGGTGTTGGAATTAATTCGTAGCGTTTTTAATGAAAGAATGTTATTTATTTCACATGAGCATTAAAAAATACATTAATGAAAGTACTTCCCATCACTTGTAAAACGCTACGAATTAATTCCAACACCTAATATAATATAATTTTGTACTCAACAATGTAACTTTATACAATACCATATATTACATTACATTTCTGTTGAGTGTGAAATTACATTGATGCAATTATGTTACTTTTAGTTATTAACTGAATTTTTTTCTCATTTTAAGGAAATTTGAGAAAACTTTACTTACACAACACGTAAACTTTAAAGTTGCAAGTAGCAGAGTTTCCAGCCTGATCGTAAGCCACGTAGCTAATGTCATAAGTGCCCCACATCAGAGTCTGTCCGGATCGATGTCCGTTCTTCTCCTGGACTCTTACGACGCCAATGTTGTCGGTGAACTGTGGTTCGTCCCAAGTGACGATCGACGATCCATTCTGGGCGATTACCCAAAGATCGCCTGGACAACCCCTCACTTCGGGCGGAATCTTATCGACCTCGAGTTGTTGACATTTGTTACCACCATAACCGAGCGGACACACACGCTGCCCGCAATGCGAGGGCACGACTCTCTCGACACCACCCGCGGTTTCGTCGTATCCCGCCCACGTCAACACTAGTCCTTGATAGAGAACTGGTTCCGTACGGCAGTCGCGAACTTGCTTTTGAATCTCATTCGTCACGTGCAATGCACGACCCCAGACTTGTACCTTGGTCAAATGGCCTTGGAAGCCTAATTCCGTGTAACTTTTTGTATTCTCGCTTTGTGGTTTTCCTAATACTGTCCATGCGCTGTAGAGAATTTTAATGTTCAATAAATATATTTTCTAATATGATGAAAAGGAATCAGAAGAACACTGAAAAAAATGCATGCTCATGATCTTTGATGTTTCTTTTGAAAGGGCACTTACTATGCTGGGAGTGATCTGCCGCTACCATAGCCTTCGGTCTTGCTAGCAATGAGGCCTTCTGTGATTAAAATGAGTTCTCCGCCATTCTCACCGTTCCACACAACAGCAATGTGGTGCCATTGTCCGTCGTTTATGGTCGCGTATTCTCTGAATGGTAGGTAGACGTCTTGCAAATCATGGAAGAGAGATACGTGGACACCATTACTTTGTGCCTGGATCATAAGTCTTCGATTTGTTGGAACATGTGCCGAGCTGAAGAACATATGTATGTATTCATATGTGAATTATTAAGTTTTATTACTAACAATAAGTATAATAAGTTTCAAACGAAACAAAAGTGTAAATAAACATATACCTGACACTATAAAGAGTGAAGAAATTTCCACCTTCGTCTCTCTGCGTAAACTGTACCCACATAGCAACAGTCAGACTTTTCGCGGAGTTAGTGAAGAATGGAATGACTTGCGAAGCGCTGCTTCGTCCTTGATCGCTGAAGTACAAGTCGTAATCCACTTGGATAGCTATAAAAATTTTAAGTAAAAATTAAACGATGCAAATGAATTCTTTTTCTCTAATATTTTAATTAAAACAGTCTGAGAAACATACATTTTCTGCAATCATCACCAGTTAAGTTGAATGGACATTGGCAGAAGAATTTGCCAGTGAGATCGATGCAAGTTGCCGATGGTGGACAAGAATTCTCTTTGCAATCAATTATATCTTCTTCGCAAGTTTGACCTAATGCAGATAATTGAAGAATTAATTTTTTAGAAATAATAAATACGTTTGATTAGATAGATCGTAAATGATATGTGCTCTCAAAAAAAATATATATGTATATATTATATAATGATGACAACTATAAAAATAACAACTATATAAGATTTGTATGTAGAATTTAGTGTGTGTGTGTGTGTGTGTGTGTGTGTGTGTGTGTGTGCGTGTGTGTGTATGTGTGTGTGTGTGCGCGAATAATTATTTTATAATTATTGAAACTATGTACTATTAATTTTCGATACAAAAAACTTATATAATTGTCATATCTAGTGATAGCCACTATCATAATTGTTCCTTTGATTGTGAATACATATGTAAGAAATTATACCAGTATATCCTGGAGGGCATATGCAGGTATATCCGGGACCTTCATCGATACAAGTGGCCCCATTTTTGCAAGCGCCAGCTTGGCAGGCGTCGTATTCGTATTGACAACCAATTCCGGTGTAATCATTAGAGCAAGTACAATTTAAGCCGGAACCGAAATCTTGACAGCGACCGTGGTGCATGCATGGATTTCCGATACAGCGTTCCGGTGCCGTTTCGCATTGCTTACCGTCGGTACCAGATGGACAACTGTTGATTGAAAATTCATATAAACCGACAAATTTATCATTCACATGAAATATCATACTCGGAAAGAACAGTTTTGCTAAAGAATCTGAAAATTGATCTAAATACGAATTTAAATACGAATCTGAAAATAATTTTGTTTGGATTATCAAAATAATTATGCATAACACTTAAACTAATTTGCTAGAATGTTACAACTTTTTGCAAGTATTGTCATCAATGTTCAAACGTTCTACATAATTATTTTGATGGTCTTATAAAATTATTTTCCGATCTGTGTATTTAGCTAAATTTTTAAATATTTTACACTCATTGTCAAAGAAAAATATAATGTTAACAACTATAAAAGTAACAACTTTTATATATCGAATTAATATATATAGTTGAATATATAAACTTGAATATATAGTTGCCGTAACTATGTAGACTATAAAATAGTCTATTCCATAATTGTATATCAAGAGACATGGCGCTAAGCCAAGCGTAGCGATACATTAATTCAACATGTAAAATAGTTATCATCCTTATTAGTTATTATATTTTTTCTCTGAGTGCAGAAAAACTGTTCTTTTGTGTAAAGATACTTACACGCAGAAATAATCCAAGAACAAATCTACGCATGTAGCGTCGTTCTGGCAAGGTCGATTCTGGCACATGCCGACATCCATTTGACAGTACACTCCATTCCATCCCTCCGGACATATGCATTTGAAACCACCGATTTCGTCTCTACATGTCGCGCCATTTAGGCATGGATCTGACGCGCAGTCGTCTATATTAATCTCGCAGGACGATCCGGTGTAACCTTCGCGACAGTGGCAGACGAAGGTATTGTCGAGATCTATGCAGCGTTCAGTGCCAACTGGATTGCAAGGATCGCTCTGACATTCGTCGCGTTCCGCTTCGCACTGAAGTCCGACGAAGCCAGGTCTGCATCTGCAGGTGAAGCCCTGCAGCTGATCTATGCATGTGGCTCCGTTCTGACAAGGATCTGATGCGCAATCATCAATCGTGTGTTGGCACTGTTTGCCCGTGTAACCGGGCTCGCAGGTGCAAGCATAATCGTCGATGTGGTCGATGCATTGACCATTGTTTCGGCACGGTCTAGATGCACACTCGTTGATGTTCGTATCGCAGGCCGCACCTGTCCATCCCGGATGGCAGATGCACTCGTGGCTGAAGAGTTTGTCCACGCAGATTCCATTTAGGCAAGGTTTGCCTAAGCAGAGATCGATTTTCTCATGGCAACGTTTTCCAGTAAATCCGTGCGGACAGTCGCAGGAGAAATCAGCAATTTGATCAGTGCAGTTGGCACCAAGCAGACAAGGTCGCTCAGCGCAATCATTGGTATTGATTTCACAACTTTGACCTTCCCACCCTGGCAGACAATCGCATTTGTAGCGGCCTTGTTGAAGAGCCACGCAAGTAGCGCCGTTGTTGCAAGGATTTCCACTGGCCGTACAAGGATTTATCTGTATAAAGATGTGAACAGAAATAAAATTAGATACACACGTAAATTAAATATAAATAGTTTATAAAGGATTTAATGTTTATAGATAAACTCTTTTACTTTGACGTTAAAATGACGATAAATAAAAATAAAGTCGGTTTGTTCGCTGGGATTTGATTTGATCACGTTGATATATCTTTTAAATTTCAAATTTAAATTTCAAATTCATTTTGTTAGATTTTTTTACAAGGATCCTGACAAAAAAATTTTTTTTTAATTCTTATGTAATTTTTCAGCATTTTTCAAAATTTATGCATAATTTTATAACTTTTTAGAAAATTTCTCAGATTTTTTTATTGATGTTATATTATTGAATCAGAATTCTTTTTAGAAATTCTGAGAAAATTTACGTCTTTTTTAGAATTTTTTATTCATATGAATTCTAAAATATTCTAAAATTTCTCATTTTACAATTTAAAAAAAAAACTTATAAAATCCCTGAAAATATTTAAAATATTTTTTTAAAAATCTTCATAAATTAAAAGTGACAAATTCTTAAAAATATTATTGAAATATTTCGAGAACTTTTTTTACTGGGGAAATTTCAGAGAAAGAAGAGCACTTACAGTGATATCACAATCAACTCCGGTGTATCCGGATCGGCAAAGACATGTGTAATTATTAATTCCAGGCTCATCTTTGCACATAGCTCTTTCCGGACATGTGTCGTTTGTACAATCTGATTTCTCTTCTTGGCAATTAATGCCAGAATAGCTGTTGGCGCATTGACACCTGTAGCCTTGCGGCAGATCTATGCAAGTGGCACCGTTATAGCACGGCTGAGACGCACATTCATCTATATCGATCTCGCAGCGTCTTCCAGAGAAACCGGCTGGACAATAGCAGTGTATACCATGTCCCATCGGTACGCAGAGACCACCATGCTGGCATACACTGTCGGTGCACTGGACAGGTTTGCATTCTTCGCGGCCCACTGAACCAGATCCGTCCGTATACATGTTTGTGGGACACTCGACGCATGTGATTGCGCCGTGCTGAGGCTGGAAGAAGTTCTTGGGACATTGAGCGCAAGGAGCAAGTCCCGTATCCGAATACATGCCCGGCGAACACTTGGCGCGGCAACGATCGCGACCAGGCGCAGCTGGTTGATAGGTGAATGTTCCAGCCGGACAGGTCTGGCAGTCCTTGTATCCTCCAATCGGCGGCTCGCCGGTATAGCTGTTCCTGGGACATTCGAGGCAAGGCACGAGACCGGTAGGTGAGTACGTGCCGTAACCACAGACCGGTATGCAGTCGTCTATGCTCTTGGAACCTTCCTCCTTTGTATACATGCCGAACGGACAGCGTAAACAGGAACCTTGTCGATCACTGTTCTGATAGAAGCCTTTTGGACAAGCTGTGCATAGCTTCTGTTTCTCTTCGGCGAAGGTTCCGGCAGGACAATGCACTGAAAATATATAAGGATGTTTTGCAATTTATTAAGAATTCATGAAGAAAGTAATACAAATCAAGTTGGGAACAGTTCCTTATTCGTTTTACGCAAATGATCACTCGAGGTATTTTTACATTACAATTAAAAATCACTATAATTGTATAACAACATTATGTTCAATATTATTGATTGTTTTCTGATTTATTAGATATTTGAGAACATTAACTTATTCACAAATTTTTGAAAAAAATAAGTAGAAACCAAATAAATATTACTAATGAAATAAGAACATTAAATAGTTTATTATGACTATATTTGTAAAAAAATTAAGACAATATTTTTAAAAAATTATGATAATTAATAAAATGGAATTAATTAATAAATAAAATGGCTTATGGCATTATAAAATGATCACTAATAAATTGTTACTATAAAATGGAAGTGCACATAAAAAGAATAATTATCAAAAAAGAAAGAAAATGTGTTGAATGATATTCATTTTACAACAATTTTTCCTCGCAAAGGTATAAAAGTCTCAGATGATTATTTCAGGATTGAAGAATACGAAATATGTCTTACAACAACGGGGAACATCGTTGGTATCCATGTTCAATACTTCGCCAATACTGCACGTGAAGCCCCTGCTAGTGGTTGATTTGAGAGCACGGAGAGGAGGGCATTGATTGCCAATCGCAGAAACGTTTAACAGAGGCTCGATAACTGCACTCGCATAAGGGACCTTTAGATCGAAGATTAGACTCAGCGTGGAGCCACAAAAATCGTATAATTTCGTTTGACGTTGTGCTGGAACGACTACCAAAATGAAAACCATCTGGAAAATTTGTGGAAAATTTACGTTAATCTTATTCCCTATCAATAATAATCCTAATTTAATTACATTGTATCATTAATCTGATACAATTAAGATCTCGACGTATATATACCTCGAGAACATTGTCTTCAATCAGGTAAGGCAGCGATCTGACAAAAGACACGTTCATATTCACATTGATGGCGGAGCAACGTTGAGTCAAAATACCGTCAAGATTCGTGTAATGTGCAGCCATGAGTTTTTGATAGTTCGACAAGCAGGATTGTTCAGAAACGACGCCGTTCGCACGATAAGTTACAGTGGCAGTTACGTGATAATCGGCCTGTTGCGTGTCTACAGACAACAATAAAGTGCAACATATTATATAAAATGTATAAAACATTATAAAGTAACATTATTAAATAAAATTATAAACAAATTATAAAGTAATAATACTAAATAAAATAAAGTTAATCTTAAAATAAGAAACTTACTTTCGGAAACGCAGTCGGGTACCATCGACGAAGGTGTCCATCGTTTGCTAACATCACACCCGAATGTTTTTACGGGTGATCCGTCGGTGAATCTATATCCAGCCTTACAGGTTGCTCTGCACTGCATTCCCTGGTCTCCGGGAATGCATTTCAGATTACCATTAGCCGGCGGTTTTAATTCCCAATCAACGCAGGGCGTTGCCTGAACCGAAACTTGAAAGTGACAAACCGCTCTATTGCCGCTGGGGTCCGTCGCATATACCGTAACGTTTTCAAAATCGCCGATTCGAATCACTGCACGTTCTGGGACGAAAGTGATCGTTACAGGACCGGATGCATCTGTGGCGTTAATACGTTTTCGCGTCTCATTGAAATTGATGGGGTAACTCTCTTGTCGGTCAATCAGTTCGATAACGTAGCTCTGGGGACAGCTCAGCTTCGGTGGAGTTATATCTGGAGATACCAGAATATACCAATTAATTTAATATTAATTAAATTAACTAATATTAATGAATATTAATTAATAATTTGATTAAATAAAATTTACCCTTAAATATAATATTATATTATATAGAACTATACATAATACAGTATTTTTAAGCATATATACTATTAAAACATAAGAAATTTTAAATTTTTTAATTTTAAACATACGCTATTAATAGATACTACTAAACGATCATTATTATAACTGTTTATATTGGAATAATAATATATTTTTCGTACAATATAAAAGATAAGGTTCTGAAATTTTTTGATATTTTCAATAATAATTATATCCTTCATATTAATGAAATATTTGATTCTTTATCATTTTCATTATTTTCATACTAATTTATTTGGTTCTTATAGTGAGTAAGAAAATTGGTACTTGGAGCGTTGTAACGCGAAATAAGTCTATTAGATAAGCATTAGATAAAATATTAGATGAATGGAAAATTGTTACTAACCCGGAACAGTAATGTTGATCTCGCAAATGGCTACATTGCCATCGTAATCGAAAGCTATATATTTCACGAATGTGTCTTCAAAGATTCGAATGGGAGTTTTGAAACTTTGAGGCTTCACTTCCACTCGAGCGATACTGCCGCTATTGTCGACGGCGATTGGCACTGTAAAATTCACCGGCAGCAATTCTCCGTTGGCTCCTTTCTGTACAACTATCGGTTGTTGCGGGCAGTTCTGGAAGACCGGCGCCTCATTGTCTACACAAGGTGAGAATCCGTAATCGTAACCCAGTAACGGTTCGGTCACCGGTTCCTCGCATCCCATAAGCTCGAACTTGAGACAGGCATTGTCCATGTAACTAACGATACCGAGGATCACAAAACGGGCCTGCACGTACTTGGGCAGGGTGATCATCGCCAATTCGCCATAATTTCCAGGGTCACGCATAGTCAGATTGAAATTTGGGAAATAGACGACGTAATTCTCATTTTCCGCCTGCTTGTAGAAGAAACGGATCTCTGTGGGTCTGCCGACTATGTCATTGGTGATCACGCCCTTGACGAGGATTGCCTTTACTCGATAGATACGACCGAGATCGACGCTAACGTAAGTAAAGGCCTCTTGCTTACCGCACCAGCCGGTTACTGAATTCAATCGGACGTTTCTAGCTTCGTAGTTCGGTCTCTCGGAGGTGGCGTTTATCGCCGAATCTGGAATGCGTCCAGAGGCCAGACCCAGTGGTTTGATGACCTTGCATTCAGGCTCGCGAATGCAGACGATAGGTCGCGGGCTAATGAGAATGTAGCCGGGTCTGTTGCAGCCGAATTGTACCTCCGAACCCTGTTCGTAGCTACGTGCCACTTGATAGCCGTCACTCGGTCTGCCAGGATCCTCGCAGACCGGACCTTCGCATCGCAGATTGCCAAAGTCCCAAACGCCATTCGCTTGACAACGCACAACGTTGTCATTGCGATTGGTCTGACCGGCCAATTTAAAGGTATCTTGACAGCCGAAAAAGAAAGAGGAGTGATGCTTGGTGTCAAGAAACTGGCCATACTCGGCGCCGGGAGTGGGAAGCGGATTGCCGCAGTCCACGCGAGGGCAAGCTGGCTGCAGACCAGACAGCCAATAATCGGGCAACCCGGGTTTAGGATCGTATACGCATTGTCGGAAATTGGATGTCGCGGTATTGCGCAAGTAGCGGCCGTTGGTACCGCACTTTAGAGTGACGTTCTGCTTGAAGGGCACTAACACGCTGGTCTCATCGTTTCGGATCACGCTAAGACCCTCGCTTTTATCATCCGGCAGCGATACACATTTCGCGTCTGTAAACATTTAAAGAGCACATTTGAAAAATATATTTTACAAAATAGGAACACATCTAAATTCCAAGAATTTTTTTAAAGTTATTTGAATAGAGAAAGAGAAAGAGGAGGCATGAAAGAATGCCAGTGTGTATGAATTAGACACTTGTCTCGCAGGTAAACACACAAAGACGCATGCTGTAAATTTAATGCACTTTCTAAGGCTCTGGAATTTTATTTTAAAGCGTTGCAGTTTGATAAAACATTATCAAATAAAAACTAATAAAAAAAGTATTTAAAAATAGTCTTTTTAATTGGTTTTCAGTTTTAAAATGGGTTTTTAAAAAATTGGTATACTTTTTGCAATATTTTTAATGTAAAACTCATTTTTATAATATAATTAATTATTTTATAATATAATTATTTTTAGCATCGAA